TAGTTGAAACTCAACTGATATGAATTTGAGTATTTAAGGTAACACGGAGTATTACACATTTAAAGGCCAACTTGGATTGTGTTAATTCTAGCCTCAAATTATTTGTTTAATCAATAATTAAAATTAGGAGAGATCCACATTTATGCTTTGGAAAAAAAGTATTCACTAGGGGTGGTAAAATGGGTCCGGCCTGTCGAGTATGTCCATTTTGCTCGTACTTTTTCGTAGGGCGTATCAAGGTTTTTGGCCCACACCCTTTAATGTGTCTGCCTCACCCCATTTTTTGAGGGCACAGACTTTTACATATAATTTTGTAATTTTTAGGTCTAAAAGATTCAATATCTGCGGGCCCACCTCGCTTCACCGTCACTTTTATGCGAGTCAAGGTAAGGTTTTAGGCCCGCACCTTCAAACATGTCTGCCCCGCCCCATTTTTTTAGGGATTTTGCGGGGCGAGCCTAAATAGGGCAGACATGCCTGTTTTCCACCATGAATGTTGTTGTTCTTACTACCCCACTACACAACACGGTGTAGTCATACTTCTTCTTATGCTTGAATATCCTCTATTGAGAATAATATGTGTTCCTCCTCATGTTTTAACATCCTCTACACTTTCTTGCATCATTTTTTTGCATATCCCCTGTCATTCAACATATCATGCTTGAGTATTGCATCTTTGAACTGCCTTGATGAGGAAAATTTCATTCCAATCAATCTTGAAATTGAAATTCTTAGTTATGACATTATCTTTATTGAGCCTAATGACATTAGAAATATCTTCATGTATGCTACATGTTTGACCTACATATGCACCAATTGTGAAAACAACATCAAACTCATTCATCATATCTCTTCCTCGTTATCATCAAAATATATACATATGACTAATTTATCACTCAATATCTCTCATGAACCATCACCCAGGTGATCAACGTCATCAACAATAATACCTATTTCTTTATTTTTCTCTTTAACACGATTCATAAATGTTGAATTTCCTATTGATCATTTTAGATTCAACATATATTTCTACATCACATTTATTGTCTTCACTTATTGTCTTCAGCAAATTTAAACATTTGACATGCTTCACCATTATTTCTTAATGACTTTAAGTTTTCTTCTAAAACTTCACATTCATGTTTCCACCTTAGTTTCACAACATTTATTAAATTAGTAAAGATCTAAGCAAACGTATTCCAACGATTATTAAATTGATTCATAAAAATTCAACAAGTAAAGTATTAAATATGATAAAGTCAAGTTCACATGTGTCTATTTCACTTGAATATTTTATATTTCAAAAGTATACTTAGAAGTTAGAACGTGGACCACGTGAACCCCACTCCCGTCCATACCTACATCATTTATTTTGTTTTCTTGTTATACTTTTCTTCTTTCAATTATTATTATTTATTGTACATACTTTCACGTTTTGTAGCTGTCACACTTCTACCAAGTTAAAGTTTGAATTGAGTATCTTAGTAAAGATTAATTTATTTCACTTAATATTCTTTCCATTTCTTTATAACTGTTTTTTAAGACAATAATTGATTGAATTGATTTGATTTTAATGATAAAATAAGTTTTGTTTACTATAATATATTTATTCATTATAATTAATGAATTAGTTTGATAGTTTAAAAATTAAAAAATAGATTAATATTTCATATTTATCTTAAAATAATTAATAATTTGAAATTATAATAATACAAGAAGGATAGTTAGATTATGTATTAAATTGTAAAGGTAGATCTCTCTAACTCAGTTAATAATTATCTAACTCAGTTAATAATTATGTAAGAATATTCAATTATATGTAAACTTGAATCAACAATATATTATTTATTCAATTTTATAAAGATAAAATTATATTTAATAGACTATTAGTAAACCAAAAGAAAATTATAAATGTGGATTAAAATCTTTTTTTAATATTAATAACTTTATCTTAAAATTTTATTATTAAAGGTTATGATGTAACACGAGTAAATATTATTGAGTTACATATATGAGTAGAAAGTCTTATCTGAAATAAATAGAGGTTGAATACTTTATAGTGAGATGGTTTAGTTACTTAAAGTTTTAAAAAATTTGAGTGAATATGCAGTGTCCCTTTCACTTGTGTGTTGTTTTTGACCTAATGTGGATGCTCTTTCTCGTTATTCATTACCGGTATCAAAGTCGATGTTTCGAGTATGGACCAACTCCTTGTATCAAAAGTATTCCAAACATAATGGTGGTCAAGTAGCATGTCCCATTGAAGTGCATGTGACGTGGTAAATGTGTCAACATTAGTACAAATGAATGTGGATGAAAAAAGTTTTCCTTGAAGGAAAACATAGTAAATGAACTCACACTTGAGCGGAATATTGTTAAATTAAAAGTGTAAGTTGGAAGTCTCGTATTGCTTAAAAAGTGAAGGTTAAACATTTTATAAGTTAGAGGACCCATATAGCGGATGCATTAAAATTTTGCGTAAATATGTGGTGTGTGCCTCTCACTTGCGTGTTGTTTTTGATCCAATATGAATACTCGTTCTCATGATCCATCAATAGTATCAAAGTCGATGGTTTAGTAAAAGACTGATTGCCTGTATCAAAAGTCTTCATGAGATGGCGGTGGTTAGGCGGCGTGTCCCAATAAAGTGTCTTTGATGCGGTAAAGATATCAATGATGATACAAGTGTATATAAATGAAAGATCTTATACTTAAGGGAGAACTTAGTGAATAAACTCGCACTTAAAAGAGAGATTATTAAGATACAAATATAAATTAAAAGTCTCATATTACTTGAAAAATAAAAAATTATGTTGAACACTTTATTACTGAGAGAACGCATATACATACATAATGAATTAAAATTTTAAATCAATATGTGACATTTCTCTTAACAATTTTGATTTTACATTATCATTTTTCACTAAAAAAAAATATCACTTAGAAAATGATGTGAGATAAACAATAATATAAAAGTTAACGTATAATCTAATCAAAATATCATTTTATAATATCAAGATATATTTACCAATTTAGAAAATGAGAAAACACTTTTAACCATTATTACAATTTTTAAAACTAACATGTCTATTTAGTCTAATTAATTAAGTATAATAAATATTCTAATGACATAAAAATAAAAGATAATTTTAATATTACAATTTTAACTTGTAAAAAACACTACAATTTTAATACTCTTTTTCTAAAATTTATTTACTAATAATATTAGGTTATTTTATTCGCACTTTTTTTAGCGGAGTAAAACTTTAGACTGTCACTTTTTAATATATTTATTTCCATCGGTCTCGCTTTTTTTTTTCGTTTTTTGGGACGTGAACATTAATATAAAATTTGTAATTTTTGAAGCTAAAATGATGCAATGTCCGTGAGTCTGCCTCGTCTCGTCTACGGTCGAGTCGTTTATTAAATAAATTAATAATATGAAACAAAAATTTATAGATATGTCACACATAATTATATTTTCACAACTTAACAAAATAAATATTAAAAAAAAATCCATTACAAATTTAAGACAACAATGTCGATAGTACATATAATAACATAAAATACTTATACACTTCATTTCAACCTTCATTTAAAAATAATTTGAGCAAATTAAAGAATTACAATAAAATAAATTAAACTAATTCAAACTAAAATCAAAATAATAGAACATAATAACTAAAATAAATTTTAAATATTTAAAAATACCAAAATTAAATATGATATAATACCAAAAGTACAACATACTTAATTAAATATAAAAAAATAAATTTGAGTTGAATTACGACAAATAAGTCATAATTGAAAACAAAAAACAATATTGATTTGAATGACAATCAATATTGAGTTGAACAACGTAATTATCTTTGAAAGATACGACATGATGATGATGATGGAATGTGGTTGGAAGAAAAACTATAACGGAGTGACAAAATTTAAAAGTTTGTATAGTTGTAAAGAAAGTACGGATTTTTTTTTTGTGATTAGAGAATGTATGTTAAGTTTTGATATTCAATTTTTTTTTAATTTTAAAAATGATCAATTTGATAAAAAATTTTGAACTAGACGGTTTTACAAAACTGACTCCGATTCTTTGACTCGAGTGATTTTGGACAGTTCAATCCGCTTTTTTCGGTTATACTCCGATTTTGATCTACTAAAGTTTTAAAATACTGACTCAATCAGATTTATCTCCGATTCTCAATCTAAACGATTGAACCGACTCGTTTAATTCAATTTTTTAAACATTAGTCTAATAACTAAAATTTACCAATATAAAATGAATAAATAAAATATTAAAGGCTCGAATCCGCATCCTTACCATTAATATTCCTATACAACTATTTACAACACAACTTCTTCATTGTTTAGCCTTACAACCTTTTTCTAACAACTATAAATATTTAAACATTTAGTTTAATACTTTTGGGTGAATGTTACTACTTTCAACTTGTGCATATCGAATTCTCCATCATGCAACTACATTTTGGTAACTAGTACAATATAACAACAAATAATTAGGAAGAAAAAGAAACAAACCTTTGTTTCTGTGTGTGAATTAATTTCTATTAGAAAAACCTATGGCCGTGGTTAAGTGCTCTAGTCCATTTTAGAGTTCATACACACGTTTTTATCAATAAAAAAGAAAGAGTTCACACTTAATCCTCACTTCTTTAATTAAAAAAGTTAAAGACTAAATCAACTTAATTGATAACTAATGAAAAATACATCGGTGAATTATATATAATGTAATAATTTTTCTTTATAAAAAATAATTTAAAAATATTATCATCCTTACAAAAGCCATGATGGGACCCATATCTGATTCATTTGTCCATGTCTAAATAAACATAAGTAGGTGAGGCTACATAGTGCAAAACCTTCAAACAAAACCAAACATAACAACAACATTAAACTCCACTCAATATAATGTCTATGCTTATCCCATAAAACCCCAATCTTGTCCTAGTTTTTTTGTCTTTCTCCTTGTCAAAACAATGGACCAAGAAAACCAACATCAAACCATGATGATTTTGCATGATGATAATGAAGAAACCCAAGATCAAGTAGTAGAGGATTCTCCTTTGAAAAGACACACTGTTAAAGATGTGGTTGTAACATCATCCTCTTCTTCCTCTTCCTCTTCTTCTGTTACTGTTAGCAATGGTGGTGGTGCTCATAGCAATGGAGGTTCTACAGCTGTGATAGACATAGATGGACCTTCTTTGCAGAAAGAGGAAGAAGTTGAAGAGAAAGTAAATGTTGGTGATTATGACAATGATGATGATAAAGAACAAGATTGTGTACCTGAAGATGAGTTTGTTGGAGAAGAACCAACAAATGGAGAAGCCATAACTGAGGATACTTTTAGTGCTGATAATATAGTGCAGAATAGTAACAGTGTTTACTTTGACAAAGAACAAGGTAAAAAACCACTTTCTCTTGTTTTTTTTTTAATTATGTACTATAGCATGCTAATTTAGAGGATTAACAAAAGATAATACTATTTTTGCTTTTTTATTTTTATGTGGTTGTTTTGTTGATGCATCACTCTCATTACTCAATTTTGGTGTTAATTCTTTGTGATAATTTTTTTGAAGTTCTTGATTTTTTTGAGCTTTTTTGTATCAACATTAGTTAAAGTGAATCTGTGTAGTTTAAGACATTGCTAGATCCATAATAGTGCTATGAATGAAAATAAATTACTTTTTATGGATGAAGGAGTGTGGAAATGTCACCATTGCACATGGTCGACGGACCGATTTGACCGTCTTAAGGGATACTACTACCCTCACCTGCTGCTGAATGTCAAAATTTTGATTCAACATGGACCTTGTTTTGTTTGGGAAACTAAAGGTCAGTGGTAGAAGATTTCAGAAGTACACACAATTGCTGTTCTGACCGGCTTAGTTCGATCGCTTTTCAATGAGTTGGATTCTCAAGTTACCTCAGTTGTTAAATTTGTTGGATGATATTGTCACTGTTGATTTTTCTCTGTCAGCTTTAAAATTTAAGCCCTGTTTGGTAAAACAGCTTAATTAAGCACTTATATCATATAAGTAGAAAAACAGCTTAAATGCTCATGTACAATCTTATGTAAAAAGTTGGAACTCAATTGAATTTGTTTCATGTTTGCAGGTGGCGATGAAGTGAATGGACTTAAAAGAGATGAAAATGGCGACACTAAAAATCACGAGGAGACTAAGTTTTATGTGCAAGTGGAAAATTCAGCCATTCAAAATAGTTTACGCAGCGAACTCAACAAACTTCCGTCTGATTCAGAGTTATCCGCTATACGTAACTCAAATGAGATAAAAGCTACACCTGCTGTGAATTTTCACGAAGAAACCGAAAAGGAAAGTAACTCGATAAATGAGATTGATCAGCAAGAGAAAGAGTTTGATGTTGAGCTAGTAATCGCAAAACAAGAGACACATGATTTGTTTTGTCCTAATTGCAAATCTTGCATTACCAAAAGGGTTATCCTCAAGAAAAGAAAAAGGAACATTCATGTATCAGACAACAAAGGAAAACGCGATAGGTTAGAACCGGTAGTTGAAAATAACGTCGACCAAGGTGATCGTGCGAATGTAACATCTGAAATTACAAACCTGGATCCACCTCCTGCTGCTTCTGCTGTTGCTGCTGATCGTGATCACGACGATGACGATCATCCTGAGAAAGAAGTAGAAGGATTCAGATGTTTATCGTGCTTCAGCATCTTTATTCCTAGTGGTAAGTCGGTTATTTTCTCTACGTTGCAAAGCACAATTTTGTCTTTGATTCGTGCACTCCGTGCTATATATGAGCCTAATGATCTCGTTAATTTTGACAGGAAAAGGTTTCAATTTGTTCCGTAATTTTGGTGGTTCCAGCAAGCATGAAACTTTGCAAAATCCTGCAAGCAGTTTGCAAAATTCTTCAAACATACAAGTCTCCAATCCGAATTGGTTCATCTCGTTGTTTACTTATAAGAGAAAAACATCTACCGAGCAAGGTTTTTTGTTTGTTCTTTTAATAGTTTTTACATTGGTACTTCTAAATGAATTCACTTGCATGATGACGAAGCTTATTTGAAAATTTAATGAAGTGTTTTAAATTGTGTCGACACATTCCGTTTCTGTGTATAGCAGGCGACACTTCTTCCCATGAGCCTTCTAGAACTAATCCTGCTGAGCAGAATCAGTCAACAGTTACTTCAACTATACTATCCTCCTCCGGTACTGGTCACCCAGAAGGTCCACTTGTTGTTGCAGCTCCGATTAAGAATGAAAAACCAATGTCTGGTGCTATTCACGGACATGAAACAATGAGTTCTACAATTTCTTCAAATGGAGCGCAGAGTGTTGTGCAGGATTTCATAGATTTTTCAGAAAAAGAACAATCGCTGATCAGAAAACCGAGGACCGATGACACAGAGAGAAAGCAGACTTCAGTGGATACAACAAAAACAAGTAATAATTTCATCTGTTTATCGTTAAAAAAAAAACTCAAATAAAATCATGCTGATAAATTGAGTATTAGAATTCTAAAACCTTCATAATTGAGTCTCGAGTTTCTTATGGCATTATTCATGTGTACCTTCAAACGTGTACATAGTTCATATTCTATAATCTATATGATTCCTTTTGTTTGATGTGACGATACTTCACTATATCACTCTGATGCAGATACTGTTGAAGTTACGTCCTCGATGAACTACTCTAATGGGACGATATCTGAGTACAAGAGTGTTAACTCGGTAACTACAACTTCTAGTGAAACATTTGTTAGTTCTAGAGAAACTACAAAAGGCACCGTTCTAAATCAATATCAAGAGAAACCGAAATTTCTTGTTCCTACAAGTGTAACTGTCGGGTCTCTAGTTATTGAGGATACACCAAAAGATGCTAACAAGATGCCTGAAACTGTTAAGAATATTGATTCCTCTTTGTGGCAAGGTGGAGCACAACCACCAGTTCAATCATTTGACAGCACAAGTTCTGCAATAGATGCTTTATTTCCATCGAAAACAGATATTTCACTGCTTAATAAAGTTCGGAAGGATATCGATAATTTTAGAAAAGAAAATCAAGGTATGTTCATGAAATGATTATCTTCACTAAATTTTCTTCTCACTTTGTATAATAAGCCTAGTTGTTACTATCGTGCAGGTGATGTGATTGTCGATGTTGATGGTGAAGAAGCAAATGAGATCACAACAATGCAGACAGAAGATAATGTTCCAGTTGATGGTGCTGTTGCGACAGAACCTCAAACTCAAGTAGGTATCCGTGAACAACGTAGAGATGAAATTGTTGAACCGAAAAAGTGGGAAATAGTTAAAAGCATTGTGTATGGCGGTTTAGTTGAGTCAATCACAAGTCTCGGAATCGTGTCATCTGCAGTTAGTTCTGGTGCTACCCCATGTAAGTGTTGATCAATACATTTGTTTCAGTATGTTAAGTACTTTTGTGACATTCATTTCTTGTGTTTATTGCAGTGAATATTATTGTGCTGGGATTCGCAAATCTGATTGGCGGACTTTTCATTCTTGCTCATAATGTGAGTAGTTTTTCTAACAATTGAGATCTCTTACTTATTTGAAAAATCTTAGTTAAGCCTTTTCTTCTGGTCCTTTTCTCCAGCTTAAAGACCTGAAAGACAGTCACGCTAGAGGGGAACAACTTCAATCAAATGCGCGTGATCGATATCAAGAGCTACTAGGACAACGATCAAACTTTGTGTTCCACGCTGTTATAGCCGTGTTCTCGTTCCTGATATTTGGTTCTGTCCCCCTCATTATCTACGGCGTATTGATTAATAAGAATTACTATGACGAAGTCAAGCTTGCGATAGTGGCAGCGAGTTCTGTTGCGTGCATCATTCTGCTTACTATTGGGAAAGTTTACACTCAAAGATCACCTAAATCATACTTCAAAACTGTGTTGTACTATGTCTCAATGGCACTTGCAGCCTCAGGGTTATCTTTCATAGCAGGAAAACTAATCAAAGATCTTATAGATAAGTTCAGCAAATCAGAGTCAGGTTTTGCAATTGCCATGCCTATAGCAGACACAAAAACAGCATGGATGTCTTACTGAAAAAAGTTGAGAGTAGGAATTTCAGAAGGAGCTTGAGATTTTAGAGGGTTAGAGAAACTTGGTTAGAAAAAAAGTACTTTTGTAGTAGCAAGCAACCTTTTGGTTTTGATGTTTCATTTTAAGTTTTGTTTTATTGGATTCTAGTTTAAGCCTTTCCTTCGAGACTCATTTTCTTCCCAGAATAAGCATTTTTCACATTCACCACTTTCATTTAATTTTGAGAAATTTTCCTACCTTTCCCTTTTCTTTCCTCCCAAAGCCATTCCCTACCAACTTTCAAGCAAAGCATTAATCAATCACATCAACTTTTTTCAATGAGGTAGAAAAGCATACCATGCTATTTTACCAAATAGAGAAAATTAGACATACCAAACCAAGCCTTTTAGATGTAAATTAAAAAAAAAATTAAAACTTACATAAACCCTCCATGTTCAAGAGCATGTGAGTGAGTGACTCATGCACATAACTCGTGCATCCTTACTATTAATTATTTTCTTATAACATTTTTCAAAAAACCTACTGTGAAACCTTTCATTTATATACAGAAAAAAGCTTATAATGTTGGGGGAAAAGCCCATACTATTTTTAATTATGCCTTTTGCAAAATTTATATCTTGACCTAAACTAATAATACAGTCTAAGAAAATCACATTTTGAAAATAAATTCATTTTAGAACAGTTTGCCTTTTCTCTTACGAAGGATTTGCATCTGAAAGTAAACAAGGATTAGAAAAAGTTAAGATAATATTGAATGCAAATCGTAAAGCTATGATCACACTACTGATTAGCGATTAATTTTGTTCGTTTGACGCACACAATTGCTACTGATGCACTAGCAATCCATGTGAAAGCGCACACAGATAACTCCACTGTATGCCACCAAAAGGTAACATGTCAAAAAACCGGCTGGCGAACAATACTCCCCCATATTTGATATATATTATGTTACAACATAAACATACATATTGTAAGTTACAACCATACAATATCACTTCATACATGTTTGTTGCCACCTGCTAATTAAACATGCCTAAGATGCAGGTGACAAGTAAAAAAAACAATATGATACAAGATAACATAGTTACTGCTCCGCCAGAAGTTCTCATAGCAGGGGAGGGGTGAGGACCGGATAATCACAACAACCACATAGACAAGCCAATTAGAAATGGCGAAGTCAGACAGGATAATCACAACAACTACGGAGACAAGCCAATAAGAAATGGCCAAGTCAGAACATATTCAATGATACATTAGTTAGACCAGACATGAACCAGACCATGCCTGTTGCCTGTATAGATCTCGTTGCGGTCTTCGTCGTAGAAAAGAGCAGTAATGTCTTCCAAGGCTTCTGTGACTGTGCTCCTTATTCTGGAGGCCTGTTTTCGCTTCTTTGAATTACAGCCACCACTTGGGCAATCGTCACTGCAGTTGCATTCCTTTGTAATGGGAAAGCTATTACTTGCTCTTATCTTTGCAAGACACTTACCAGTTAAAATGTTGCTGACATTGATGGATCCCGCTGCATTAAAAAGGCAGAAGTTGTAAGTAATTTCGCTACCTTAAATGATATAAATTGATCACAAACACAAGGAGAAATCATAAGATACTAAGATTATATAAGGTAAGAAACTAATCTTATGAGAAAGTAAGAGCCTTATTCAAATATTGATCCCACCGTAGCAAACAAAATAAAAATAATTGGGAAAAAGTAGCAGCTGGGCAGAGGAGGGATACAAAAGAAAAAAGTACCATTTCCTTCGGACAAAGACTCATCTGAATCAGCCTTGCAGTATGATATGATAAGGTCCTGGTCACTGGTTATATAAATGTTGTTTGTATTGCAGTCAGGATGCCACAGAAGGTGATCCTCAAAAGAAGTTACAAGTTCTCCACGGAAATTCCACACAGCCACAGTTCTATTTCGAAACGTCAGGAATAATTGGTTCTCATATAAGAATATAAATGCAGATGGCGTCATGAATTCCGTTTTGCTAACTTCTTTAAGCTCAAAAGTACGAACCTAAAGGTAATTAAAAGTAAGATCTACATAGATGTTGAACAATGTATATATATAACCCATGAATAATTGGGAGCATTACTTACATCAAGGATTTGGAGGTTTTCATTTTCTTGCTTGACAAGAAGTTTTTCATTGAACTGTTCAATAAAGTCCACCTTACTATTCCGATGAAGCAGGTGGTTGAATGACTTCAAAACGGTGCCATCTTCTATTGAGAGGATTTTTAGTGGCACATGACTGCTTGTTTTAGAATAAATCAACAACATGATCCCCGGACTGATAAAAAAATGAAAAAGAGAAAAGTTGTATAAGGCATTTAAAATTAATAACAAATATAATGTAAAATAAAGCTATCCACCACACTAAAACATGATGTCATATTCTTAACAAAAATATGTGAATTACCACAAACCACAAATATGCAAGGTAGTGGTAGATTGGAAAGTAAATTTCACAAACAAATAAAATTACCTGATCTTAATCTCTTGTACATTTTTATCAGCAACGGAGTATAACAACGTATAGTTTTTCAGGTCAAACACCTTGTATATGCTATAGAGGGAAAAAAGAGAAGATATCAGTATATCCCCGTCAATAATTTTGAAATGTAATATTATTAAAATTACATATAAAAATCAGAATACAAAAATATTTACCTGTCCTGTGCAGAGTATGTCAGTACCTTTCCATTGACATCATCAAACTCTACAAAACCTGGCCATTTCAAAGACTCGGATTCGAAAAGAGCAAACCCAGCATCTGGTTGAACCCTCCTTATATATCTGGAAAACAGATATTTTAGCATAGAACACAACAACACAAAATTGGACAGGCATATGCTATCTACAGCTCTTAGTTTACTCTTTCAGTATTCTCTGTCTCTCTTATTTTGTTGAGTATGGAAAACAACAATAGGAGGTGATAAAAAATAATAGCGGTATACTTACTCAGTTCTGGTGCTTCTGCATTTCAAAGAACTGTAACTGTCTGAAGCATAGACAGAAACTGTGATAAGTGAATCGTTATTTTTATTATAAAACAAACTTCTTATCACTTCATCGGGACTGACATTCAAGAAGCATATCCTTTCATTGGTCTCTGCAGCAAACAATAGAAACATGTATCATATGTATCATTGAACAGAATATTCTGATAAAACCTCACAAATTATTAAAAACCAAAACATAAATGCCAATAACAAGGTTTTAGTACTACCTCGGTTAAATGCTGCACACACACCAGATTGTGCAAGGGCAAAAACAATGTCCTGAGCCGCTACAATTTCGATAATCTTTGACCTCTTTCTAAAAAATGGCAATACGACGGAAGAAGGGCCTTTTGGATCATATGTATCATATTCTTCCTATAAATATATCCATCAGACATAAGTGGGGGAATGGGCACAGTAAAGCAAAATATACATCTCATCATTGCGGGATTTAAAATGTCGTATTGCACCAAGAAGGAATACGCTACAAAACAAAATAACAACCACTGGATGATTTGTACGGCCATTAACATGTGCCAGACACGCCTCAACCACAAGTATCATTGGTGTTTTAATGCCTCTTTCCAACAATGATTCATTTAATTAAATATTTTTAACATTTTCCCTCTTCCCATCTTTAGGAAACAAGACACCCGCACCCATAATTATTCTCTTCCTTACATTAATTATAAAACTTTTCCTTTCCTCTTGCTTACAAACCGAGATACACAAGCACTGCAATCAAAGTTCAGGATTAGGTTCATCTAAACTCAGTTACACTAATTCACACCTAACCAATCACAGATCCACATCAAACAACCTTTCTATTCCCAACATCTCATCTAGAATTATATCAATTGCAATCACATCGTGATTAAACAGAGGCAAATATTAGGCATCTAGGATCACAATAATCAATGCCACTGACACAGTCATTACAGACTCCAATTTAAAACTAATTGCTAAATTATATCAAGGCACAAGCACGTAGCAGACTCAGATTAGTCTTTACAGTATATATAAAAATCATCATATACATTTAATCTATAAATCAATCGTCATCCATACAATCTTAACACAAAACCCTATATAAGGAAAATAATTCATAATCCAAATTTTGCTAGAGCATCCTAACAAAGCTTTATCACAAAGATGAAGTCTCCACACTAAACAGTCAAACCCTAACCAAAATGTTCCCTTTTATGACAATGACAATAATAAATATTAATCTAAATTCCACTGATTTGTTACTTCATCATGCATATGAAATTGATTTAAACAAAAAAACTCATAATAGATTAAGAAAAAATAAATCACACAAAGAAAAAATCGAAAATAAACTTAAAAATAAAAAGACAAATTTGAGTTGAAGAAATGGAACCTGCAACCGAATATTGCGGAATCTTTCTTGAGCATCAGTGATACTAAATCCACGAATACTTTTGGTACAAATTTCCCGTCTCTGAAGCTTCCTAACACTGTTGATAAACCCATCGCCGGCACCACCACGACCCTGCTTCTTTTTCGCCACCACACGACGGCCACAGCAAGGTCTCGGACTCACAGTAATTCTCCTTCCACTCCCACCACCTTCCATTTCTCGGCTAACTCCTTCCCGACGGCGAAGGAGCCACCGCTCAAAATTTCAACTTTAGCAAAAACCCTAAAAACTTCAATTCTAGTTTTCAAAAATTGGATCTAGCTTTTCAAATTTTGAGAGGGAGAAAATGAAAATGAAAATGAAAATTAAAAATAAAATAAAAATAAAAACAAATAAAAAAAGATAAAGAGAATCAAAGAGAAGGAAAATAGTTGAAATGAAATGCGAAAAATCTGAAGTGTGTTAGAAAAAATGAAATGTTGTGAAGTGTTTTAAGAGAGACACTGTTGTTGTTCTTTTGTAATTTACAACCTGTAATATGATGACGTCATGGTAAGCTTGTTTTTGGGGCTTGGGCCCATGTGTTTTGTGTAGATCTTAACCAAGCTTTT